CCCAAACTTTTCCCATAACTGCTAAGATGGAGGCACTCAGGTTTATTTCCCAGATCCCACACCCATGACGGTATCCCCTGCAGGCACTAGTGAAACCCAGAAACAACGTGCAGATACACCAAGAAAGAAAAGCAGGAGGACCTGGAAAGTCCTTCAAAGTAGGGGGAAGAATTGGTGAGTAGTCCAGAATTTATTGGAGCATTGATTAAGTTGGAGAATTACAATTTGCAAGACTTAATTTATGCACTGCAAATTAGGGAAGAAACTTTACTCATTGGGAAGAAGTTGTAACAGAGGGGGTCTTAGAAGGGACTGCTCACTGGGGCAGCACTGGAAGCTTGATGAGAGACGATGCAAGGGAGAGAGAGTGAGAGAGGGAAAAAGGGAGAGATGCTAAAGGAAGCCCTCCATAATGGGAGAGCCCTAGCCAGACAATGTGCCCTGCAGTATGGAATAATGCTGGAACAAAGGGGAGATTGGTCATGGGTAGACGAATGGATTTAGGAGCTCTCCTGTGTCAGCGGCTCGAAGTGATTTTCTTCTCATTTTTTTGTCCATGGCATAATAAGACAACCAATATCACAGTAGCAAGACTGGCCCAAGACATTGTCCCTAGGTCAGATAATTGGGCACATTGTGTACTAAATTATGAAGAAGCTTATGTCTTCTTTATGCTATTCAGCTTTGAAACCATCTTTTTTACTGAAAAGACATTGAGCCACCCTGTGAAGCAGTTTCCATCATTACCATATCAGTAGCAGCATCAAATCAGATGGAGCTGGCTTTCTAAAATTAATATAAAATTGCTTGATGGGTTAGCTGACACAGACCCAGTAATTCAGGTTTTTCTCATGTGAGGACCAATGGATGAGTCTTTTTTTTTTTGCCATTTTGAATAGCGTAAAATTAGTTTTTTTTCTTTTTAAGTGAAGATGGTTTAATACTTATGGAAAAAGCTGAAAAAATTTCAAAACATTTTACTAACTATAGAAGGTTTAGTTAAGAGAGAAAAACCACTGAAATGCATCCAGGCAGAACCCCTCTCAGATGCATTCAAGGCTTCTATGCTACCGAGGGTTGTTTCTTTGTCTTCACATTCTCTGTAAAGACACCACATGGCAGGGTTTGTGATTTCTGTCTATCCTGTCCTTGCTCCTTTCTTTTCACTTAAGGGGTGGGGGGAATGTTTACTCGGATTATGAAAGTAATACATGGCTATTGCAAAGGATTTGCAAAATACAAAAACTTATAGTAAAGAAGAAAATAAAATCTAATCCTATAGCTAAAAGATAACTGAGGTTAACATTTTTCTTTCCAGTATTTTTCTTTCCTTTCAATTATTTTTAATTATACAAATAGTGCAAAAATACATCATTCTTGAAAAAATTGCCTTCCCACCCCCAACTCTAATTCTAATGTCACACCCCAGAGGTAAGGACTGTTATTAAGGTGATTTTTCTCTCAGACCTTTTCCTCTAAATATATTTGTAGAAATGACATAGTACTTTTCCCCCATGTGTGTTTTATGAAAAAGGGTGCCAAACTAAGGATCTACTTGTATAGAATGATATATCTTAGAGATATTATTATACCCAAACATGTCTCATACTACCTGCTTACATAGTATTCAAAAGTATGAAAATGCCTTTATTTAGTAATTGCCCTGTTATTTTATTCAACCGTCCCCCTCTATTTCTCTTGGTATTAAAAATAATGGTATAATGAGTATTCTTTGGATATTATCTAAATAAGTAGAGGGATACCTTTTGGTGTAATCTAAAGATACTATTTAAAGTTACAGTAAGAATCTTAAAACTAGAGCAAAAATACAAAGCTTCTTAATTACCAGACAAAACAAACAAAAACAAGACTCCATAGTGAAATATTTTAACAGAGCAATAAAACAAGAAGCATAACATAAAATAATGCAGCAGAACTAAGACCAAACTTCTCTGTCATATTAACAAATGTAAATGTAGTAAAGTCATTCAGGAAGGGAAGAAGAATTTTAGAGTTGATGACAAAACCAGACCCAGCTTTATCTATATATGAGACATCTAAAACAAAGTGATACAGAAAGGTTGAATATAAAAAGATGGCACAAAGGTCAGATGCAAACAAAAAGAAATCAGGGACAATGATCTCATCGGAAAAGAGTGAATTTAGAGCAGGAAGGCGTGAGACAAATAATGCCGCATTATGATGCTGTGTGTACAAGGCACAATGAAGATACCAACATTCTGAATCTTTGCACCAAATAGCAGAGCACCAGCTTTCATAAAGCAAGAATACAAATGCTCCAAGATTATAAAGAATCACATTAGTAATAGGCAAGCCTAGAAGTGCCGAACTAAAATAATGATTAAGGCAGGACTAATTGATATATATTGAACGCCAAGCCCTGAAGACAGAGAATATACTTACTTTTTGGCTCCCATGGGACCTTCATGAAATTGGGCATTCACAAAAACTTAAATAAAATCTAAATACATAGATATTACTATGCTAGAAACAGGAATGATGGTGAAAGCATAGGGTAGCACAGACACCTTGCAGTCTCAACAGACCCAGTTCTGAATGGATACTGGTCAGTCACACTGGTGTCCGCCAGTGATTGTCAGCCCTGACTGTAGACGATGTTCTCTGAGTGCCGTGCAATAAAGTAGAAATCCATAACAAACCCCAAAAATAGAGAGCCACAGCAACAAAGCTCTTGTGTAACTCAGGTCAAAGAAGAAATCCAAACCAAACTGAAGACTGTAGGAGAGAGCAAGAATACTGCACAGGGATCCATAGGTTAGCAAAAGAAAGGCTAAGAGGGAAAAGCTAAGACATAATCTGTAAATTCATGTGTTCTTCTTTCAGTATTCATACCACCTTTCCTTGTCCCTGTAATCCTGTCATGCTACTGCTGTACATTTCTCAGCCAATCTACCCCGGAGTGTTTTGAAGGAATGGATTTTTGTGGTCCACTCCAAAGCCTCACTCAGCACAGAGGTGTCTCTGGGGCTTAGTCAGAATTCTCCAGAGAAATAGTAGGAGATATGTGTGTGTGTGTGTGTGTATGCACATACAGTAAGAGATTTAGGATAAGGAATTGGCTCACACAATAATGGAGGCTGAGAAGTACCAAGATTTGCAGTCAGCAAGCAGGAGACTCAGTAGAGCTGATGGTATAAGTTCCAGTGTGAGTCCAAAGGTAAAAGAAGTCCGCTGTCCCAGCTCACGGACAGTCAGTTGGAAAGAGAAGATTCTCTTTGCACAGCCTTTTTGTTCGATCCAGACCTTCAGTGGATTGAATGAGGCCCACCCACACTGGG